AGGGGGGGGGGGGGGGGGACACATTTGGCTGTGGAAGAGCTTTTAAAAATCGTTAGTGGTACTCTGGGATGTCTCTAAGTTGTAGAGCTGTGAGGGAAGCACAACACTCCTCTCCCAATTGGAGCTGAATGTGGTGACGGGATAGAAGTTTCCTTGGATAGATTTTGAGGTATCCCTAGACAATATACACCATTATGTTCTTGTTTGGACAAATATACTTTTATTTACAGAAAAGCCCTGGGGCCATGCTGAAAAACGTATGAAACGAATTTGGACTTTTTAAGTCTTGAGCCTTTGATGTACCCAGGCAGTGATGTGCCCAGTATTAATCACATGGTTGGCTATGACTATTGTTATGCCTTTGCATGCAGTTTATCAATACATATGTCTACCTGTATTAATAAGGGCCCTTTTAAACAGCCAATCACAGTTTGCTATTTCCCAGTTTGCATTTATGCATTTAAGGTATGTTCTTGTTACAGTTCCATGTACAGAGTGTCATTTTGCCAAGGTGCATCCTCAATTCATTTTTATAGAAAATCATTTTGAGACTTTTTTGCTTACTATTTCTGTTTAACTTCATAATTATTTTGTTTTTAAATTCATAATGAAGTCCTTAGGAATTTGTAAACGGCACAATGCCATTGTGTTGTAAGAGATGATTCTAGTTCACAGAACAATATAAACTGAAAAATATAGGCCAGTAACTCTTACGTCTTTGTATTACTACATATAGAGTTTGCTCCTTCAAACACCCTGTAAAGTAATGTACTTTTGTTAACCATTATTAACATGTTTGCAACTACAACTGCATAAATTAACAACAGTAAAGCATGAATACCAAAATCAAAAATAATCCCATCATGTCATCACCTCATCAAAATAGTGAGGAATATCATTCTACTGCTGCTACTGTTGAGGAGGCTCCAGCAATCACAGGCTAGGTTGTGAATCTTGATCCTCATCAGAAAATAACTTATGGGTTTGCTTTGTGGCGTGAGGTGGGGGAATGTTACAAATATTGGGAACAATATTTTAGAAAGTACTTTTGCTCCCTGGTTTTTTTACCTTACAGTAGGTGAATTTGAGTTTGGAAAGTTCCTGAACTGTTGAGTAAATGCTACTCTTGACACTATTTGGAGTAAGCTGTGCACATGGAATACCCGTGTGAGGCTGCAGATGGAATACTGAAGAGACATCCTATGACAATAGGAAAGCACATGTGGTTGCCTACATAGAGTAAACTACCTAAAGCAAGAAGTTGCTACTGATAATGAGCACAAATATGTTGTTTTATTGTATTTTGGGGTATCCTGTTCTCTCATCTTCTTCCCTGTGTGTGTGTTCAGCAATAAAACTACAAAACCCTACTTAAAGTGACATTAAACCCTCAGATTTTGTAACATAAAACAATACTGTAACGTGTGCCTTACTGTAATCCATGGTAGTTTCCCTTCTCTTTGCTGCTCTTCCTTTTAAATCTGTATCTGTTCTCATGCTGGGCAGAACTTCTGTTTTGCAGCAGACTGCCTTGTCTCATGAATGGATATATGGGGTTGATTTACTAACCTTATAAACACACCACGAACATGTATACACCTCTGTAGTGTGTTCCCTCCCAGCATGATCTATGGGTGGAATCTAAACACCTTTGTAGTGTGTACACACCCAGCAGGTGTGTTGTGCAAAGCCAAGCATGAATTACAAGGTGATGTTGTGTAAATTAGCTCTATGTTGTGTTGCTTGCGTTGATGAATGCAGGAATGTAAATGCATGAGCTAACCATTTTTGTCTAAACTGTGAAGCAGCATTATATATGCATCATGTGCATGATTTTTCCATATATGGCATTAGTGGAAATATGCTTTTAAAGGATTTTTGGTTGATAAATACGTTTTGCTGTGTGAAAATCACACGCACCTAGTGCGTGCATGTGTTTAGGTTAGTAAATCACCCCCATGGTGTCTGTGTACAGGTTTGTATAGGTTTGTAACCTGAGCCAGGAAGAGGCCCTGAGCTGCAAAGGGAAGTTCTCCCCAAGCATTAGAAGACATGAGGATTTAAAAGGAAGAGCAGCAAAGAGAAGGGAAACTACCATGGATTAAAGTAAGGCACACATTACAGTATTGGTTTATGTTAAAAAATCTGAGGGTTTAATGTCACTTTAAGTGACTCAAACCCATCTATTTATACATCCACAAGCGCCAAAGATCCAGCACTGAGAAGTGAAAGAGCCTGAGAGTTTAATTCAAGTAACTAGACTGGGGCATTCAGAGTGTATATCTGTTAAGCCGTTTAGCATTCATCTCCCATGACCCAGGGAATAGTGATGTTGCACACATTTCCAGTGATAGCTCTACATACTCAGAATTTTGTTAAAAAAAGAACAGCGTTATATGATTCTTTATGTGTTGCTTTTCTTTTCATTAATAAGTGAGTTGATCACCTAAGTTTTCCCACTATTTGTCTTTCACCAAATGTTTATTATTGTTTGCACTTGTGTACACCAATACACGTGACAAGGTTAGTGAGCTGACGCAGCAGCCGCAGCATTTAAAGTGAGCATTGCATTGTCAAAGCATATAAAAACATAACAAAAATACTGTATATATTGTGGCAAAGAAGATGAGGGATAGCAGTCACATAGCAGAATATGCATAACATCCCTACTAATTCTATAGGATCTGCCATGAGCTGCCAAGAACCTTGTGTGGTCTCTAGATCTAGTTACTAACCTCATGAACAGCAACTAAGGTGAAGGAGAGAATAACTACTACACTCCTCTACTAAGGTGTGAGAAAGGGGGAAATTGTATTGAGATTAAAGGCAACATTAGGAATAGTTAAGAGTCAGAAAGGGAAGAAAAACAATAATTGAAGAGAAGCCGAGAGAGTAAAGGCAATAAAAGGTTTAGAGGCTCAGTGAGAGAGACAAGTTAAAGAGAAGGGGTTGAGGAGGGGAATTCCCCAAAAGACAATCATTCAATAAAGAGAAGACACCTGAGCTGCATCAAAATAATGGGGGCTAGAATACATTATCCAAGGTCTCAGAATTTTTTTAAACTTATCATGGGAGTCCTCTAAAATTGCTAACAATTGTTTATTAATTCATAGTATTTGTAATTCTATTCTTCACTTCTGAGAAGTTAAGGCCTGAAGACTTTCAGGACCTAGCAATAGTTTGTTTAGTAGCCATGAAAATTTAGGTAATTCAAATCTGATTTTATGTAAACGAACAGGGGTATAATACAACCGAAATAGGCTAACATATTCTTATAACAGGAGGCTATATTTTCCAAATTGCCATCCAGTCTTCATCAGTGATACTAAAACCCAGCTCCTCTAATTGATAGGAAACAGGTATGACGGAAAATTTAGTTGACAGCGATGATTGGATCAACGTAATCAGACCCAGTGAATGTGGATCATTAAGAAATCTAAATTCAAAGGGAGTAAGGGAATACGGAGGAGAATGCGGTTGAAGGAGGAAACAGATATATTGCCATAGCTGAAGGTAACGAAAAGATTCTGATTGAGGCACTTTGTGCGATGAATGCAGCTGAGTCAAAGAACAAATTCCTCGATCAGATAGGAGGGAGTGAACATCATAGAAACCAGATTTATTACACCAAGAAAACTGACCAGGATTATCCATGCCCGGGGAAAACAATGGGCACCATGTAAGAGAAAAAAGAGGAAGATGAGGAGGAGCAAAATTACTGGAATATTTAAAGTGACACTAAACTCAGGAGTTAAATCTTAAAAATACATTCAAGTACCTTAACTATTAAGAAAAATT